CATTCATTTTATTCCAATCTTGTTTGCCACATCCAAAGCAACGTAGTCAGGAGATAAACGAACATATGCTTTCTTTGTTCCATCAGACCTGATCAAAGTGTTCACTTTCTTGGTTAGTATAAACATTTCAAATTACTTTGTGATCATCAAAACCAAGAATAACATGTACTCTAGTACAATCTTCTTTGATAATTGGGGTTATGAACGATAGATTATTATTAATTGCTCAGGCGCTCAAGAGGACCTTCAAGAGGATCTCACAGGATACGCCTAACTTATCGCTTGTATTTGCTACTTGAGTCACTCGGTGAGTGTCAAGTGTGTGAAAACGTATTAATTGTTTTGAAAATAGAATATTTTGAAAATGCTGAGTCGAGTGTGTACTTTATCACACTCGTTCTCATTTAAGTGAAGTGTACTTGAATTTTGTGACATGAAATACTTGAATTGCTTGAAGTGACTTGTTAAATGAATTTAAGTAAAGTGTTTAAGTGATTAATTATGCTATGGCTGCATAAATCGATGGGAGTGAATCTCTTCGACTCTTAAGTGTTAAGTGGGGGACGCCCAAATCTCACTGGCTAACCCTGAACTTGAGCCAATATGGGCTTGGTCGGGCTCCTTGGCGAACCATGAGAAAATAAAATATTGATCTATTAAGAGATCTTGCTTGGCATACTCGAGCAGTATCGCCTCAAACAAAAGACAGGCGGGCCCGATACAGGGGTATGTAAGGTGAAAGGGGACATGATAAGTGAAGTTCTACGGACTAAACCTACCCGATTGACGGAGTGTCAACTCGTGGAGGTTCATGATTGCGCAAGTGGAAAATATTTCCAGAGAGCTCCTATATTCTTGAATTGTTTCTGTTTACTTTTCTCGCTTGAATTGTTATTTATTGAAATATTATTGCTCTACTTGTTAAATTGGGATTGTTATTTGAACAACGTGCCTGCATGTGTGTTCTTGACCTCACGAGTGTTTTGCTCACCCTATAGTTTTGTTTTCCTTAACATGAAAGGATCGGAAGTGAACCTCGGAGAAACCCCTTTTGAATGTACTTTTGTGTTAGGATTTTCAATGTACTTGGCTAGACTCTGAATTATTGCACATTTTGGGATTTGATGTAACCTTTGTGAACTTGATGTAAGGATTGGACACTTGATGTATTTTGGAACTCGTGATGTAAGTTTGAATGTTATTTAAGGGAGTGACCTTCCTTTCTTACTTATATCATCGTGATGGCTGGTATTTTCATTAAGTTTGAATGGGATTTGTCTTGAGTCTTGGCGAGAGTTGGGCAAGCGTCCCGCGGATACCCTTTGGTTCGTCTTAGAGAGAAGTGGGGCGTCATATTTTGAACAAATTTCCAAACTCTTGGAAGATCGTTAGGTGAACTAGTGTCTCTGTCACTATCTTCCCTTGCTGGACTGTCTTGAGTTTCATCTTCTTTTGAATCATTTTCTGGTGAAGCAATGCCTTGGTCAGTGATTGTGAGTTTCTTTAGTTCTTCTTGAATACCTGCATCATCATCTTCACCACTACTTATGAAAATGTCACCATTAGATTCATAAAAAGTGATATGTATAGCTTCCTCTATAACCAAAGTCCTTCGATTGTAGACTCTAAAACCTCTCTTATTCTCACAATATCCCAAGAAAATTCCCTCATCAGATTTTTTATCAAACTTTCCGAGATGTTCCTTGATGTTTAAAATAAAGCATTTGCAACCAAAAACTTTAAAGTATCCAACTACAGGCTTTTTATCAAACATCAGCTCATAGGAGGTTTTGTTCAAAATTGGTCTTAAAAGAACTCTATTCATGGTATAGCAAGCTGTATTTATAACTTTAGCCCAAAAGTATTTTGGTAAATTACACTCACTAAGCATGGTTCTAGTAGTCTCTTAAAGAGTTCTATTCTTTCTTTCAACAATCACATTTTGTTGGGGAACTCTTGCAATTGAAAATTCATGAGTAATACCATTGTTGTTGCAAAATTCTGGAAAGCCACAAAAATGAAATTCTGAGCCATTGTCACTTCTGATTTTGATGATTTTCAATCCAATCAGATTCTGAACTTTTGCAAATAGTGAAACAAAGTTTTTGAAAATATCATCTTTGTGTGCAAGAAACATCACCCAAGTGTATCTAGAATAATCATCAACAACAATAAAGCAAAATCTTTTGCCACCAAAGTTGGTAGTTTGTGTAGGACCAAATAAATCAAAATGTAAAAGTTCTAGAGGCTTTGTAGTAGAAACACATTTCTTGGGTTTAAAAGACATTTTGACTTGTTTTCCAAATTGGCAAGCATCACAAATTCTGTCCTTTTCAAATTTGATCTTTGGCAGCCCTGTAACAAGATTTTTTTTGGAAATTTCTTTTAGCAGATCCATATTGAAATGGCAGAGCCTTCTATGCCACAGCTAGGGGTCCTCATTTGCTACTTTGAGACAACTAAGGCTAGAGGAATCAACTTTTTCAAGAATAATTACATAAATGTCATTTACTCTTTTTTCTTCGAAAATAGTGTTGAACTTTGAGTCAAGAACAAGGCATTCATGTTTTTTAAATAACACAAACAGATTGCTCTCACACAATTGACTAATACTTAACAAGTTATAGCTCAAATTGTCAACTAAAAGAATATTGTGAACAAAGGTTTGACCATTCTTACCAACATCACCAATTCCAACAGTTTTGGCTTTGTTATTGTGACGCCTCCACTTCTCCCTAAGGCGAACCAAAGGATATCAGTAGAACGCCAGCCCAACTCTCGCCAGGACTCAAGTCAATTCCCGTTCAAGCTTAATATATTACCAGCCATCACGACAAGGTAAGGTAAGAAAAATAAGTCGTTGCCATAAATAACATTCAAACTTACACTCCGAGTTCCAAGATACATCAAGATTCAAAAATTACATCAATTCCAAAAGTACAACCATCACGAGGTCTAGCCAAAATATATTTGAAACTCTAATACAGAAGTACATCAAAAGGAGTTTCTCCGAGTTCACTCCATGCCCATTCCTGTTAAGGAAAACAAATCTACAGGGTGTGCAAAACGCTTGTGAGGCCAAGAACACACATGCAAGCACATAGTCCAAGTAGCAAGCCCAAATAATAGGTCAAATAATAAAGTGCGAGTAATTAGCAATTTCAATGGAATGTAAACAGAACCAATTCAAGGATATGGTAGCTCTCAGGAGCTAAGTTCCACTTGCTTTGCCAATGTTATGCGTATACCTTCCCGCGATGACTCTCCATCAACCGGGTCGGTATTTCAAATCTGTAGATCTCCACTTACTTCTCATGTCCGTCCACCGTACACCGCACCGGGCCCGCACGACATTTATAAGGTGATACTCCACGAGTATGCCAAGCGAGATCTCTCAATAGATCAAGTTTATCATGTAATTCTCATGGTTCATTGAGATTCCTGACCAAGCCCATGTCGGCTCGAGGCCAAGGTCGGCCTATGAGTTTGGGCGTACCCCATGTACATTTGGGTGTAGAGAAGATTCATTCTAGCGACGTATGCAGCCATAGCATACTATTTCATGATATTCAAACATTTGATATATCCAAGCATTTGACACATTTTCAAGCATTTGATACATTCCAGCATTTCAAGTATGAGTTATTCATTTCAAATGAGAACGAGTGCGATAAAATACACACTCGGCTCCATTTTCAAAATCTCAAGTCATGGATAACAAGTAAGCATGTATCAAGTTCACAGGAGTTCAAGTAATCATGCACTTGACACTCACCAAGTAAACTAGAAGTAAGGCCCTCTTGAGGGTTTAAGCGTCCATTGTAGGATCCTCTTGAAGGTCCTTTTGTGTGCCTGAGCAATTAACAATAAACTATTACTTATAACCCCCAATTATCATAGAAGATCGTACGTTTATACAATCTAGAAGATAGCATGAAGATGAGCCTAGATTTTTCCTTGTAAATCGAGGCTTAAAAGTGGGTCAAGTAAAAATATGATTTTTAACTTTAAAATCATTGGACGGAAACGAGTAGGTATGAAATCATGCAATTAAATTTTCAAACGATTGATCGAAAACGAAATGAAACTGTGCCACGTCACAATCCGGCCAAGATCTGGCCGGATTCAAGGCAGTGAAGAACTCAATTTTTTTTTCAAATCTCACCATCAATCCGGCCAACTATCCGGCCAAGAACTGGCCAGATACACGGTCGAATTCTATGAAATAGTTTCCCGCACGGATTCTTTTCAAAATGGCCAAAATTCATGAATTTTAGGGTATTCTTTGAAAAAACATAACTCGCTTTCTGAAAGTCCAAAATTAGAAAATTTGGTACTGTTGGAAACTAGTTCCAAAGTACTAAAAGTTCCTAGAAGACATTTCTTCAAGATTCCAAATGGAAGACATTCAAAATTTGGCTCAAAGTTGCTGTTTTGGAAAGTCAAGACAGATTTGGGTTGGTTTTTGGCCAACTTTGAAAATTCAGCAAACATTCTACAATGTGAACTATCTTTTTTTTTTTTTTTTTTAAATGCTCTTTATTAATAAAAACAAAATTACAACCACAGCGGGCAGTACCCAAAATGGGCCATCCTATACTTTTCTCAGCCTAACACGTCTAATTGATGGCAATCCCAATCTGTTTAACTAACCTCCCCCCGAGCCAACACGGGAAGACCCAGCTCACTATCATAAACTCTAACCAACTGTTGCGGATGAGAGACACCCACGTTGGACAAAATATCAGCAACCTTATTCGCCTCTCTGTAGCAGTGCACGAACCTAGCCTCCCCCACCAAGTGCCAAATTTGCTCCACCTCTCTCCTAATGTGCCAGGGGCAGTGATAGCGTCGTTGGAGGATTTCCGTTAGCAACAGCGAATCAGATTGAATCACCCTGGGGGCAACTCCCTTTCCAAGACACAGCTGAATCCCCAATAAGGCGGCTAGCGTTTCAGCGCGAAGACTAGAACCCTCACCCAGGTAAGCCGAAAAAGCCACTAATACATGGCCACTGAATCCCTAAGCACTCCACCTCCACCGCTCACTCCAGGGTTACCCTTAGCACAACCATCCGTATTAAGCGTCGTGCATCCATATCCTCCTGCCTCCCAGCGGACTATTCTGTACTCATACAAATACGGCGCTTGAGACACTCCCGTAAAGAATACCTGGAAATTACTCCCTTGAACGGCCACCTTGAAGTGGATCTCAAATGCCGCCTTCACATCCTGGAATACTGCACCACATATCTCCTTCGCCCGAACCCTTGCACCATCGAACACCACTCGACACCTAGCCTTCCAAATGTTCCAACAAATAAATATCTGGGTAACCGAACAGACGAACCTCTGCTCGCCCGACGGTGCCAATGGCATCCACCAGGCAAACAAATGTGACCTAATGCTAGAGCTATCACTAGCTATACCACATATACTCTGAAAGTAACTCCAGACCTCCAGTGCCAGTTGTCCCGTGGAGAATACATGTTCCAGCGTTTCACCCGTTGCATCCACACAACAAAAACATTTTGACGCCAACTTGAAACCCATCTCACCTAGGACATCATCTATCGGTAAGCGCCGCATAAGCAAGCGTAGCATGAAAAAAGATACCTTCAATGGTATCCTAGCCTGCCATATACGGGACAGCACCAGCGAGCTAGTGCGTCCCTGCCTTACCTCCTGATACGCAGATGCCAAAGTGAATGCCCCCGACTTCGTAGGCATCCATACCACTTGGTCTGTCCCCCTCCCACTTGGAACCGGAGTTTTCATCACCAAATCCACACTGCCTGATGGGAGAATCTGCAACAAACGGCCCCTATCCCAGGCACCATTAGTCATAACATCCGCAAATGAAATGGCTGGCACCACTGGGGCTCTAAGGAAAAGACCTCCACTCCCCACCCAGTTGTCATACCAAAAGTCACAGCCCCCACCATTTAACAACCATAGCATTGATAGTTCCATCTGGCGGCTCACATCAAGCATGCGCCTCCATGTTGCTGAAGCAGATTGAGCCCAGCCCACCTGACATGGGTGAACCCCTTTGCAATACTTGGCCCTCATGAAGGATACCCACAAAGACGATCCTGTGCGCAAGATCCACCATAACTTACATGAGAAAGCCTTATATACGTCTCGCGACCCGCCGAAATCCCGCCTCCCTCCTCCTCCCGGATAACACGGCTGGGACCACTTTATCCAATGATGCTATTCAGCTCGCCAGACGATCCCCACAGGAAATTAGCGCATAACCGCTCAATATCCTTAAAAGTAGCCATCGGAATGACCGCAGCGGATAGAAGATGCGTCGGAATGCGAGAGCACATGTTTTATTAGCACTAACCTCCCCCCAGGTGACAAAAGCTTTGAACGCCAAGAAAGGATTCTTGCTGAGATGGAATGATACACCTCCCCAAAATACGCTGATTTACATCTGCCAACATAAAGCGGAAATCCCAGATACCGAACCGGGAACTGTTGCCTTGGAAAACCTGTAATCCGCTCTATTACCCTTCGGCGAGAGAGACACACTGATGGGTGCACTAAATATCCACTTTTCTGGGCATTTACCAATTGACCAGATGCCCTTTGATACATCTCCAACACCTGTACAATGTCTTTTAAAGATCTGGCAGAGCCATTCGCAAATATAAGTACATCATCCGCAAAGGCTAGATGAGTAACCGTAGGGCATCCCCTGGGAACAGTGAACCCCAAGAATCCCGACTGCAAAGTTAGGCTATTAAGCCCTCGGGATAAGACCTCAGCTCCAATGACAATAACGCTGGCGATAGCGGATCGCCCTGGCGGACGCCCCGACTCGATTTGAAAAATCCATACGATGCCCATTGATAATGACTGAAAACCAAACGTTAGACACCAATCTCCACACCATGTCAATAAACCTTTCACCAAATCCAAACTCACGCAAAACGCTTATAGTGAAAATCCAAGACACACGATCATACGCTTTTGCCATGTCAAGTTTTACCGCTACATTACCCCCCCTAGACTTGTGTCTGATCCCCGACAGAAGCTCCTGGGCTAGGAGATAATTCTCTGTGATGTTTCTGCCCTTGACGAACCCTGTCTGCTGAGGAGATATAACCTTGGGCAGTATGGTTGCCAACCTATCAGCCAAAATCCTAGACAACACCTTATTGAAAAAATTGCACAAACTAATCGGACGAAATTTAGAAAAATCCTGAGGGTTAGGCACTTTGGGAATTAGGACAATGGATGTAGAGGTCACAAAGCGAGGCAACTCTGCCCACAAAAGAAGCTTAAAACAGCAGTATAAACATCTTGCGCAATAATGTCCCATGCAAATGTAAAAAACTGACCGGTGAAGCCATCTGGGCCTGCTGCACTATCCCCATCCATCTCAAACACTACCCGTTTCACCTCTTCAATCGTTGGACAAGCTTCAAGAGCCATCCCATCTGCCTGGGTAACAACATTTGGAATTAGATGGGCCCACTCTCTCGATGTCCCTCAGCAGCAACCGAGAAAACATCCGTAAAGTATCTTACAGCCACATCGGCTATCCCCCTCAACATCCTCTACCCATGCACCATTCTCATTCTTCACTCTGTGGATCGCCCCCTGAGCTCTACGTTGCTGAACAGTTGCATGAAAAATCTAGAGTTCCTATCTCCGTAACGAAGCCACTTGACTCTAGCCTTCTGTCCCCCAAAACTTCTCCTCATTCAAAAGTGCATTCCGTAACTCAGCCTGGGCTTGATTCAGCTCGACCTGAGCCTCCGTAGAGGCATCCCCCTCCGTGCGGTTCTCCGCAGCTAAAACCTTCTCCTCTGCCCTCCGAACATTCTCAAATACATTCCCGAAGACCCCCTTATTCCAATCTTGAATGGCCCTCCTAGTGCGCAGGAGCTTGGAGCAAAGAGCCCGCAAAGGTGCTCCAGGAGTCTCCTCCTGCCAGGCTTGACGAACTACATTCAGTAACCCAGGATTCGTCGTCCAAATGTTTAGGAATCGGAAGGCCCTGGGTTTATTACCCATGCGCGAAGAGAGTGAAATCTTGAGCGGCGCATGATCCGATGGGTGACGTGCCAGGTGGACCACCGCTAATGTTGGTGCCCCTCAGCAAACCCACCATTGATGAGCACCCTGTCCAATCGCTTCCAGATTCTAGCCCGCCCTTGCCGATTATTGCACCAAGTGAAACTCGCCCCAGAGAAACCTGCATCAAAGACTTCGGCCTCCTCCATAAAGGATAATAATTCCAATCCTTCAGAACTAGTGAAAGGCCGACCTCCACGCTTCTCAATAGGATTCCCAATGACGTTAAAATCCCCACACACACACCATGCCATTATTGAATCAGGTTTATCCACCAATAAGTCCTGCCACATAGTCCTCCGCTCCTCCAAGGTGCATTTAGCGTGCACAAAGGAAAAACACAAGGCCGGGCCAGCCAAGGATGCTGGACAGATAACGTTATGTGTTGTGAAGAGTTACCAAGTACAGCACACACTAGGGGGGTATTATAAAATACCCATATATCAGCCGATGAATTCACTACAACCGAATCAAAGGGTAACCTTATCTTAATCGAGTCAATTTGAGAAACATCCATTTTTGGCTCACATATAGCAACAAACTTAAAATCATGCAACCGAATCAATCTTATCAATCGGCGTAAGTTAGGGGCTTTGGCAACCCCTCGTATGTTCCAAAACAGACCATTAATCATGGGATAATCTTTGGAGAGCATTGTGAGAGTGTGTTACCGTCGATCGAAGTTGTCTATCTGATGGGGCCAGACCCTTCTTTCTCGCACGTTTGCCACCGTTGTCCATCACCCTGGATTGATCAATATGTAACCGGAGTAAAGTGTCCTCCCTACTCGAGCCATCACCGACACCTCTCGCATCCTCTTGCTCCGTTGCCTCCTCATCCTCCCCCTCACTCACTGAGCCTCTACTCCCACACAAGGCATCAGAGGGCTGTTTTGTGAGGACCCGCAAATTTTCTACATTTTTCCTCAAAAATGCCTTTTATTTGAAAATTATTATTTATTAAAGCTCTACTATCTAATTGTTCAACTATAAGTGCAGATGAACCTAGAAAATAGGGTTTTCCGCTTCGGTTTCATGACTTGAGCAAAATTAGGGTTTTTCGATTTTTCCGCCGGATGAATTTTCGGTACTGGCCGAGGATCAATTTGATGATTAAAAGTGACTTTTAAGTGAGAAATAATATGTGATTAGGAGCAATGATAAAAAGTTAGTGAGTTGAAAGTAAAAAAACCTGGTACGCGCGATTTAAGAAAAACGCGTCACACCGACGTGTACCGCGTACTACCGATTGAACCACCACTTGATCACCACTTTCTTGCCATACAAGTTTATCATTAATGGAGCAAAATATCTTCCCCCTCTTAGCCCTCCTATTGGCCGAAAATTAGAGATTAGAAATGCAACAAGAGAGAGAAAAATTTGTGGTCAAGATTAGTCCAAGTGTTAGCCAAACTTGTGGCTAGAATTAATCCTTAGCTTTCCAACCTTCTTATAACACAAGCTTAGCTTAATTCCCTCCATTAATTCTGCATCTTGGCCGAAATAAGAGAGAGAGAGAGAGAGACAAAGAGAGTTCATCTCATTCTCCTTCATTTCTTCTCCAAATCTTGAAAAGTTTCTTCTATTCGCGCAAATCTACTCCGATTAAGTTGTTATCTAGCACAAAGGCTACCTACCGGTGTAATTTTCTTGAGGAACAAAGGCCTTGAACACTTGTTTCTAGTCTCCTTGGAAAGGTATACATGCTGGAACCTTGACTCTCCGATTAAATTCACGATTAGTCGCTAAATATGTCACATATGGTTGTATTATTGAGGTATGTGGTGAAATAGAGGCTTGGGTCATGATTTTCCATTTTATTGGAATATTTTTCAGCTTTCCTATGATTTTTCTAGTGCTTAAAATTTGGGGCTTTGATGTTTAAAGTTTAATATGGGAAGTTAAGATGGTGAAGCAAGCCAAAAATAAAGAAATTAGCATTTGATTTCAAGAATTTCCAGATTTCAGGGACTTGAAAATTCAGTTCTGCCCGTTTCTATATCACCTAGTTAGAGGCCGAATTTGGCTTGGCATAAAACATGAAAGTTGTAGAGAATGATATTTTATAGTTGCCCACAAAATTTCAGCTCAATCGGAGCAACGTAGGTTGTGAAAAGTCCAAAATACCCTCACTGTTTTAAAAATTTCCCAGCAGTCCGTTTCATCAGTTAAGTCCAGTTTATCACGTTTTTTGACTAGTATTCATTCTGATTTAGCTTTTTGCCAAAACATGAAAGTTGTAGTATTCTGAATTATCTTTCAAATGCCTCTAAGAAAACCTGATTCGGACTTATGTACTCTGAGATATGTCCATTACAGTGTAATGTTTAAACAGCCGACGAATTGATTTCTGGTTTAGTAATTTGAGAATTTGACCAAGTTACATTAGAAACTGGACTAAGTGACCTTCATGAACATTTTAGCCCTGTGTCTTAGCTTCGAAACGGCATAAGTTGTGTCTTAATCCGATAAGCGTAGCCTCAGATAAGTTATTTCCGCTTTCATACGTCAAATCTGTCTTTTGCTAAATTGAATTTCTGCACTTGTTATTTCTGTATTTCTTATTCTTATGATATTGTGAGCCTATGGAACGGCTCTTGACTTGAATTGCTTATGTGTGATGTTGGGTTGTGGTTGAGGAAAAATAATGAAGCCAAAATGGCTGGAAAATTAGGTAAAAACAAAGGGCATGCTGCCCAAATTTTCGCCCGAAAGCTAAGGTTTATTTGAACTTGTAAAATACTATGACCGTTTTTCCATCTTAAAAACATGATCCTTCTTCAATTGGAAACTCCAAATGTTTACTTACTCTTACCAAATAAAGAGGAGTAGTTTAGGATTTTCTTGAGTATTTTGTCCTCTCTTTTTCATGAATTTCATTAAGACAATTAGTCTATAATATCTACTTGAATATAAGATAAGTTTCAACCACATAAACGATTCCGAAAATGGTATTTCCTAGTCTATCTAGTTGGATTTTGATTTGTCTTTAGTTCAAGTGTTTCCATTAGAAAATTTTATAACCCTTTTGAGTTGGTTTTATGTGTGGTCTATGAAACCCTAGTTATTTTTATCCACGAGTCCAAATGTCCACGTTCTACTTTAAAGTCTTTTTATACGTTCTACTCATCATGCGACGAGTCTCTTTGATTGCACCTAATTGGTTGTGACAAATGAGTGGTAATATTCTTTTCATTTAATCTTAGGTTTTCTCGGTGACTAAAGATAATATCCGGAAGGATATTTTGCACGTTGTTGTGCGTAAATAGGTGAGTGTTCTATATACCCATTGTTTTCTGTGACTACCTGATTACTTGACTATCTGTTTACTCGATTTCCAATTTATGTGATTACGTGATATCCGTGAATTACATGCTCCCATGAAATCAATTTGTATTGCTTACGTGCTAAGTGTCCACTTGATTACTTAATTATCATGAATCACATGCTATATGAAGTTGTCCATCATTGTTAGGCGAGTGTGTACTTTACCTCATTCGACCTATTCAATTGATGAATTTTACCATTTACCGTTTACCGATTTACTTGGTTAGTTGTGCATGTTGTAAGCTCTAAGCTGAACTTGGGCCCCGCCTCGGTTACCGACCTACTCGAGCCAGGACTGGGCTCGGTCGGGTAGGTTGGAACCCTGGACAACCGTCGGTATACTCGAGTATTACCACTGGAGGGATAAGGTGATGGCCAGTCAACCGTGGGGATTCGGAAGTTATAAGGTGCAGAGGACCGACAAAGTTCCACCGGAACACCGTATCCTTCAGTATATGGTTACCGTGTATCACGATAATTGTTCCATGCTAAAATGCCAACATGAAATCATGTGTTATACCTGTGATATGCTCCATACCTGTAATAAGTCCCAACCACTCATGAACTATACATAAGGTTTTCTGGATTAATTGTTATTACATGACTAATGTTCCTTGTTTAATTACTTGTTTATGTATATAGAACCTCACTGGGCTTTTTAGCTCATACCACGTCAATTGTTTTCCTTAGCAGGGGAAGGCGAGCAAGGACGAGAGTTCTGTATAGTCTAGTTGATCTAGTTCTTTGGCCTTGTAATGGTTCTCGCCCTAGTGCTTGGCACGGGCTGGTTGTATGAGGAATGAGAACCCTTGTATATTCGATGGTTGTATTTGAATGGTAAAAACTTTGAAGACTTCTGGTGAGTAGAAGTTTCTTATCTTTTACTTGAGCATCTATGTATATATTAAGTTGAAGTGGATGGGTTACTTATTGTCTATGGATGTACGCACGTGATACGAGTGACTGAGTCCTGGCGAGAGCTGGGCAGGCGACCCGCCGAACCCTGGGGTACGCCCTAGGGGGAGGTGGGGCCGTCACAGGTGGTATCAGAGCTTAGGCTTCAGATTTTTGTAGTGTATCCTAGGCTTAAAGTTTGGGATGCCGGACTGTGGGATTTGATTTGATTTGAAAGGTAAGCAATTGAGGGATAAAACCTATAGCTGCTTCGCGTGGTCTTTGCGCGGAGTGAGCCTGGACTAAGTGGTGAATAAGTATGAAGGATTAAGTGTCCGTTCGAGCATAAGTTATGGATCATAAATGTTATCGGCCTTAAATCTTTCTCATGGTATCTGAGGACCATAGATAGGTACGTCAGGTAGGAATTTCGATTGTAGATAGTTTACTCTTGGGACTGCAGCTCGAGATGTGAATTATCTTATTTCGGATTCTCGTGCCCGAGTACTCCAGAGTTGAGGCGATGCTAGCTACTAGGTACTTGAGACTTGTATTTTGGAATATGAACAGGCTTTGTCCGACCAAAATGAATATAAGAAATCTACGGACATCTAGTGACTAGGAAGTGACGTGAGAGACCGGACGGGGTCATCTTAGCTGAGTCTGGAAAATATTGTAACCCAAAAGATCCTTGTGGTGAGATTGAAATGATTCTTAGTA